ACCTTTGCCTTCACCTTACAGCACTCTATAGGACCATTAAAATGAAAAATAACCCAACTGCACCACTGATATGGCACATAGACTGGGAACTACTGCTTTAAAGAATCTAGCATGCACATTTGAAGCCAGAAACCCAAGTATGACAACAAAAGTATAGTCTCCAAATCACGTGAAATACTAATTCCCCTCTATTTCATACTTTTAAGGCTTCATCTTGAGTACTGTGTCCAGTTCTGGATGTCACATTTTAAGGAGTATACAGGCAAATGGGAATAAGTTCACAGGAGGACAACAAGGACAAGGGGACGAGAAACAAACAAACAAACAAAAGAACTGGGCATGTTTAATTTTGAGAACAGAAGACTGAAAAGGTACATGGTAGCACTCTTCAAATACTTGAAAGGCTGCCATGCAGAGGAGGAGCAGGATCTGTTCTCAATCAGTCCAGAGTGCAGGACACAAAATAAGGGGCTCAAGTTACAGGAAGCTAGATTTCGGCTGAATAACAGGAAAAAAAAATCGCTAACTGTTTGGGCAGTATTACAATAAAACCAATTGCCGTGGGTGGAGGAGAGCGTTCCAACTTACAATAAAACCAATTGCCGTGGGTGGAGGCATTCCAACTCTGGTGGCATTCAAGAGGAAGTTAGACAGCCATCTGTCAGATACACTGTCAAAGCACACTTTGATTTGGATTCCTGCCTTGAGCATGAGGTTGAACTCAATGGCCTTGTAGACCCTTTCCAGCTCCAATATTCTATGAAAAGCAGATTTTTGCCAGTTTCTTACCAGTCCATTGTTTTGTGACCCCCTAAGTTCACACTAAGCAATTGATTCTTGGGCCTAATGTTTTGGGTGGTTGATAAAAGAAAAGGTGTTTTAATGATACAGAAGTTAGGCATAAATGATCTTGTTTTACTTCTCAACTTGGAATGATTATTGTCAAGCACTCAAAACAAGATGGAAAGTCATAGTTACAGAGACATTTGTCAAGGTCTGCTTGCACAAGGTATTTGAACACTGCAATTTTCTACATATTTATTTAGACGTCTCAATTCAGGTGTACTGCCTGAATTTCCTCTACAGGCTTTAAATCTGCCTTTGTTCAGGTTGCAACCTTTAATATCTATAATGAGTACATGAACTAGCTAAAGCTTTAGCTAATTACTCAGTGGGGCAATTTTAATTGGCAGAGATACATCCAAAAAGGGGGTTGCTATTGAACATATTAGGGAATTAATGAGAAACTATGAATGGTGATGTGTGCCCCGTCAGCCCCTTTCCCCATAATGTCTGAGGAAGTGGACTTGATCCATGAAAGATTACATTAAAATATAGTAGCTAATCTTTAAAGTGCCACAGCACTTTTGGTATGTTTTTTGCTTTAGTTTTTTTGTCTGATATGTGCTTGCACAAGCTAACACAGCTGCTCCTTCAATAACTACAAGAAGGCTCCGTGTTAATGAGTAAATGGTACCATTTCACAAGATGATGCAAGCATTGTGTTGGCTTCTTTTTTCACCACAATTAAGAAATTGGAAGTCATCAGTGGGAAGATGCTCCCTCGCCTCTTTGGAATAAATGGTATGTTCCTGCATTAACTGTAGAAGAACAGTTTGGTGCCAGTTATGATTATTGTGGTTAAGAATGATTAAGTAGGTAACTTTCACCATGATGAATATCCTTGCTATTGCCATTGCCACTGTCACCCCCACCCCCACTGTCATCAAGTGACTTGGCACGAAGTAGGTGAAATAGGACCTTACATTCTGGGAAATGGAATGATAGGAATTTGATTTCCAAAAAGTGGCTGCTGCTTTCCTAACTAGGATTAAGTAGAAGCCAGAATTACACCTTATCACCATTCATTGGCTGAAATGCTATTGTGCACTCACACAAATGGCTTAACTTTTAGATGCAAATTGCTCTGCAGACATTATCAGTTGCACGCTGGGCTGTGCAACTTAGTGTGCAACAAATGATGTCTATGGTGATTCCTTAACTTACAGCAATTTGCTTCTGAAAGTTATGCTGTTTGTGTAAGTGTGTAATATTGTGTTTCCCCAAAAATAAGACAGGGTCTTATATTTTTGTTCCAAAAATGCATTAGGGCTTATTTTCAGGGGATGTTTTATTTTTACATATTTCTACATTTATTGAAATACAGTCATGTCATCTTCTTCCGGCTGCTGTGTAATGCTGCACAATGGTAGAGGGTGGGGTTTCACTTAACTTGGACTCTTCAGTAGTAGGGCTTATTTTGAGGTAGGGCTTATATTATGAGCATCCTGAAAAATCATACTAGGGCTTATATTCAGGTTAGGTCTTATTTTCGGGAAAACAAGGTAGTGCCTCAGCCATTAAGTGGTAAGTCTCCACTGATAACAAAAGCTGGTTCCCACTTACTTTGGCTCCCATCTGTAACTTGAATGTAAAACCATTACTATTATATGGGTCCATATTCCTTACTTGCAGTAACAAATTCATATCCATAGGTACTTCTAACCTGCAATGACAAACTGCATTTTATTTATAAGTACTGTATATTTTTGCAGAAATCCAAATTGTTTGACTAATAAGTATCTTTTTGCAGAAATTCCAAATAGTTTAACAAACTAATCATAACCTGTTGATTTCTAGACAGATGTAGAATCTGCTGTATGTACTGTATACATGTAAGTTAAATTGTGTGACTGGCCTTAATCCAGCATCAAATTATTGGAGTACAATTTATTCATCCCAGCTACATACTATGGGTAGTGATGGCAATTGTAGTCTGCAACATATCAGATGAAAATGGCTGTTTTCTCTTCTTATCCTGCATATGTGGGGACTAGCTTTTTTATGAGTAATGAGGGAAGAATTGCCTTTAAATTCTTTGCTTTACATATTTTGTGACTGAGATCTCATCCTGAAAGTGTAACTGATATCATCCTACTTCTAGATATGTTTTGAAGGGTTTTTTAAAAAACTGGTTAGCATAATCTTAATATAACAAAGTATTCACAGTATGAGCTACCATTGCAAACAAAGACAAATTACATAGTGTGTTCATTCACCATATCAAGGGCTAATATGTATCATCCCCAAAACTCCCTTGACCTCCTATCTAAAATTCAGTTGTCAACCCACTGAGGTAGATGAGAAAATTTGGTATATTAAAGAAGGCAAAGATAGTAAAGTGTGGTACAAACAGTAATCAACCCTTCACGTGGTAGTAGTTTCAGGAGGGGGGTGTCACCTCTCTTTCAAACCACAAGCTGTCTGTGCCTTCAGAGAGCATACAGACCATTTTAAAAATCTGGTAGACACCACTCCAAATTGACTTTAACCCTCCCTCAGCAATCCAAGCTGTAGGCTTTTCTCAGCATACCTCCAAAAGCCACTTCTTGCATTCTCAAGCGACAGTATATATGCAGCACACTTTGCTTTGCTAAGCTTTTTCCTTTGGACTCAGTAGTCCTTATATGCATATTTGAAGGTCATGAATAGTGGACTTGGAGATATGCAGTTATCTTCACTGAGAGAAAGAGAAACTTCTTTGGCCTGATAGCAGTTTTATGATTTCCAATAATTCCCTGGACATTTTTAATGAATGATATGTAATACATCTACAAGCACTTTGTGTACATTCCTATTTCCATATGAGAAATAGAGCAAAAGCATGTGATGGAGCTGAGGGTATAAAAGGTAAAGGTTCCCCTTGACATTTAGTCCAGTCGTGTCCGTCTCTAGAGTGCGGTGCTCATCCCTGTTTCCAAGCCATAGAGCCAGCGTTTCGTCCGAAGACAATCTTCCGTGGTCACATGGCCAGCGTGACTAGACATGGAACACTGTTACCTTCCCACTGAGGTGGTACCTATTTATCTACTTGCATTGTTACATGCTTTCTAACTGCTAGGTTGGCAGGAGAGGGGATTTGATCTTACGACTGCTGGCTTTCTGACCTTGCAGCACAGAGCCTTCTGCAGTTTAACCCGCAGCGCCACCACGTCCCTATTGCTTGGTATAGCTTGGCCAAAAAGATCCTATAAGCCCCACTCAGGGGCACTTTTCAGTGTGGCTTCTTTTCAAAGAGGTGGGATCTCCTAGATACTGTTTTTAAAAAATAAATTATTTGGGGAGGGGGGTTGCTGGGAATTGTCTTGCCTGATTTATGCTTCCTTTTCTTTTCCATTAAGACTTTTTATGTAACTCAGGACAGCTCCTTCCTCTTACCAAATCATAACTTTGGCCTTTCCCTGTACAGGAAAGGAAATGAGAAGATTAACTAATGGACGCTGCCAATTCCCCACCCCTCTCCCTGCTGCATTTGTTTTTGTGTCCCCTTCAGTGCTACTGTTACTGCTGTCCTTGTTACTATACTGTTACTATACTGTGGCTGTTCTGATGTGATTGCGCTTAGCTCTTATTGTTTCGTTTGTTGCCCGCAAGCCACGGGCGGTAGGGCCCGGGTGCTCATTATCGAAAGGCGCTCGTCCTCGTCGCCTGTCAGTCTTCCATCTTCCTCCTTGCGTTTGGCCCCACTTGTGGCCCCCCCCCCCAGCCTTTAACCACGCAGTCAGGGCTCGAGGAGGGCTCGGGGAAGCCCCTGGCGTACATAGCGCCAGCCGGCGGCCAGCATCTCCCGCCTTTCACCTCCTCCCTCCCAAGCCGCGTCGCCCGGCATTCGGCGCTTTCCCTTCCGCCGTCGC